TAAAAAAAGTTACAGGGAAATTTCAGAAGTTGCCGATTCAATAGACTTTGGCACTCTTAACGGTATTTCTTTTCAAAATTAATAGTAAAATTAGTTAAATAACAGTTTCTCCTGGACAAATGTGATGGATTAAACTGCTTTGTGGCTAATGTTAATATCAGTGATACGAGGTGAGAATGGAGTCATGGGTCACTGAAGTTTGTTGATAATTACAAGGAGGGGAGGATGAAACGGTGTGCTTGGCTTTGATCTGGTTTAATCTCGTTCCCACGGCAACGTCCAGGCCCGTCGCTCAGCTGCGGCTGCCGTGCTCCGCTCGGGGCTCGACCTGGGTTTTTCCAGGCGGCGTGCTCGGCGTGTGCCGTCGCGCAATAATCTACTTTACTCGGTAGAATACAAAGTTGAACGCACAAGCAACCACATTTGAATGCTGGATTGGACTTTAAACGGAGCAGCGTGCATGCGAAGCGATTGCGAACCAATAATCTCCGAATTAAATATGCAAAATGAAACTTTCCGTAGGCTCTCGTTTCTGTAACGCCACTGAAAGAACAGTTTATTTATTACAACGTCAAAGGTTGTCGGTTTTCAGATGGATATTCTGGTGTCTCTGTTCTTGTCAGAAGTTTTAGAATTGCATAGATTGGAACATTTTTAAGGATTTCTTTTCTTTTTTTTTTTTTTTAACTTTGTGTAGTTCTAGTTTCTGTTTTTGTGGAGGAAGCCTACCTGTCACTCACACCCCAGTGACAGCCTCTGTGTTTCCTGCCTTTCATCTTCAAGGTTTTTTTTTATTTTTTTTTCCATTGTAAAGTCTTGCTTCAAGTTGAGTTTGAGGCAGAGAAAGTGAAACAGAGGTCTCTGGTGCAGAGTTCCTCATCTCTACTATAAAACTTGCTCTGTTTCCCTCTGTCTGTTGAACCTTTCTTGTTTCTTCTTCCCTTTAAAAAGTTTCACCAACACTCCTTTCTGCAGCCTCTTTAGTCGTATGTGTGCTCACACACAATATAAGAAATTAGTCCCCCTTTGAACTGGGCCTGGTTTAGATGCCAGGTCCAAAGTATAAATACTGTAGATCACAAACCGCGCTTGACATATTCTGCATTTATAGTGAGCTCTCATACACAAATGATTTAATTAGGACAAGTATTGTAGATTTTACAATAAGCTGGATCTAAGTTGGTCTATAAAGTAGAAATGCCTTTTATTATAGAATTGATTCAGATGCCAACTTCAGAATAGTGAAGTTGGCATCACTATTCTGATGCCAACTTCAGAATAGTTGGCATCACTATTCTGATGCCAACTATTCTGACCCACACTGAAAAATGTCTTGTAATCCAATCCACTGAATGAAAAGCTCAGCAGAAAGATCTAGAAATCTTCAGAAACTCTGCAGGCTGTTTGTTTGCCAGCGCTTCATGTTGCTTTTCCCAACTTTGATATCTTTTTCTCTCTTTAATGTATAAAGATTATAACGCTAACAAATTTTTTTTTTCTTTTTTTGAAAGCATCATCTCATTCTGTAAAAGTTGAACAAAACAAGGAAGCAGAGCGGTGTTTTCCTGCCTCCCGCTGCTCGTGCACAAAGCAGAGAAAAGGGTTGTGAAACTTTGAAACGCTTTCCTGCTACGAGTTCAACAAACGCCGTCTCCAAGGAGGAGATGTATGAGTGCCTATGACACCACATTGTTTGACAGCAAGCTGTTTATAATTCACCGTCATGTTTATTTTTCTCTACTTGGAAAGAGGTTGAGTGGGATGTGATATTTTGATCCTGGGGTCAAACGGGGACAGTGGCCTGGTAGGGCCAGAAGAACAACAAACATGTCTGCGGCGCAGCTAAAAATGCCATTTACCGAAAAAATTACGCATCAGGCTGACGACGCGCTCCGCAAACAAACCGAAAGTACACTAGGAAACGCAATCGGGCTTTATTTATTCATAATTCATGTTAGAACTACAAAACTGAGCGTGTTTTATCGGGTTTTGACGCGACGGATGAATACAGTTGTAGTGAAGTGGAGAGAAGGTGATTCGTGGTTTTGAAATCCACTCTGAAAAAAGCCTGACAGGCCTTCGTGTTCAACCCCTTTTCCTCTAACACCCCCTGAATAAAATTAAGTGCAACTAACTGGCTCTAATCCAACTATATATATATATATATATATATATATATATATATATATATATAAATCTCGAGTTGGTAAGCTTACAGGCAAAACTCTTCACACTACTTTATATTCTGGTTTCCATGTGTAAAATAGTGTTTGAAGTCTTTCCCAGGTCTGGGCGTGTGTGTGTGTGTGTTTTGTTGCTGCTGGTTTGACTGACCCCTGTGTGTTAGATTATGCGTGTGTATATAAAAAGATATTGACCTGGTACTGTCCTCAGATTATGATGTGTACTAATCCAAGTTGGGGGATGGACAGGCGTTATGCGAAGATGGGGAACCACGAAAGAGCTTTAATAAAACATCAAAAATTCCGTTTGTGCACATTTATTATTATTATTTTTTTCATCTTCAGGTTATTCTACCGTGTATGTCTTTTAAGAGAAACTCATTTAGTATGCATCCAAACCCAGTTTTTTGGTAACGCGCCACCCGGCGTACGTCCGTCCTCGCCTTCTGAAGCCGCTCTAGCAGCAGCTGTAGAAACGAGAGGCTTCTTTTTGGTTTTTTTTGTTTTTTTTCTTTTGACCGATTTCTGTCACATTCCTTTCTGGAGCGTAATGCAGTCGTCTTCAACAGTGACGCGTTGTTAATTTGGTCTCTGTGAGAAGCGATCGCCTCGAGCCTTCCCCGTCTGAAACTAAAAGCCAACGAGTCAGAGCACCGGGTCACGTGACGACTCCGATCAGATACAATTCATCACTCCGGGTTCAGACTTGCTCGCCACGCCGTCGTGTTAATTTGTAGTGCCTTGTTGCTGGTGGGGTGATGTAAAGGAGATGGAATGTACCCAGTCCAGCTGTGTTCACTGTCAAAGCGAAGGACGTTCTCAAGAAAGCACGGGCGGGGTAGTAGTTTGTCGTGATGTGACGAGCTCGAGTCAAAAATACTACGTTGTCATGGTAACAGCTGAACACTTGTCACAGGGGCGTCGGGGAAAACAGTCGAACAGCAGCAGCAATTATTCCTGCTGTTGTTGAGGTAATGCAACATGGCTTTCATAGTAATTCCATCTGACATTTATGTTATCATACAGAGACATAATCAAATGTATAAATTCTCTGTTTTAGTTCAATATTTTTAGGTGTTTTGACCAAAACAACTTAACCACTTGTGGCTTCCCCTCCAGCATAGGCATGATGCATGACACTCCTTTGGTTTGAAGGAAACCATTAGTTATTTCTGGCAGGAAATTGTTCCTAAATGCTATTTATTGCACTTCCTTTCAGCCAACTAACCAGAAGCTTGTAGTGACATGCGGAACAGGACAGCACTGTGACCAGAAAACAACTTAATTTACACATCAGGAATGATATAACAGAAAGTTTCAGTGGTTTTGATCCCATAATACCAGTAGGGGAACCCAGGGCTTGTACTACTTGGGCTCTCTCTCAGAAGAAAAAAAACAAAACATTTTTAAAGATGAAATTCATAAATTTACTTTTTAGTATAGGCTGCAATGATTTATTTATTTTAATTTATTCATTTGTTTACTTTTGGGTTGCCGCCTTTTTATTTTTTTTTTGCCAAACTCAGACTCTGGCTTTTGAGACGTCTCGTCTCAAACACAAGTTTTGGCGACAAAAGCGACAGTTTCTTTTTAAACCTTATCTGAAGTGACGATCATTTTACCGCCTACGTTTGGGGCGTACGTGGGTTTGACGTCCAAACATATGACGTTCTGTCCCGTAAACAGAACAGCGTATTTGGATTTGCTTTCGACATCAAAATAGTATGGATGTAGGCTGAAGCTTACCCAGGTTTGACTTGGAGACTTAGAAGTTTTTATTATTATTATTATTTTTTAAACTGGCTAACTAATTTTCTCGAACAATATAGTAAAGGCCTCTTATGCTTTCATATATTCTGATGACACAAAGCATTTGCGTCCATTTTTACACCATGAGGTCGGCTCCAACTTCGATTCTGAAATGGTTAACCTGCAGCATTATCAGTATGGATTCTTATCCCCCAACCTTGTTGCACTGTTATCTTCCAGTGTAACCGTTGCCGCCCAAGTTCAATTTAACCCTTTGATATCTGTGACGCTACTAATGGGGTACGCTCTCAATCAAGCACGCTGCTGCCTTGTGTCTGTTTTCGGTCTTATTGTACATGTTTCATGGACGATTTATTCACTTATTCTTTTGTTTTGCGTCTTGTGGTTCTTCTCTCTGCCCCACAGGGGAAGAAAAAGGGGGAGGGGGGACAAATGGGATTTAAAAGAGTTCAAATTTGAGCAAACATAAGCTTCACAGATGTTTGTTTCATGCAGCTCGAACCTCGAGGGTTTCTTGTTGTGAATTTTGTGCTTAACTCAAGGACAACTTGGAATTTCTTCTAATATGATTTTCTCCTGTGATGCATATTTTAAGAATCATTTAATGATCAAATTTAAATAATCAGAAGAGCTTTAACCTTGAATGGGGGAGGGAATAAAATAATTGTGGGGGAGGGAGGAGAGGGAAAAGGCCAGTGGTTTGTGGTTAATGTCCAAATAAAATCATATTGATGTTTGTTTTTTTTCCTGCATATCTTTGTTTATTAGATTATGTTTCCTACTGGAGATTTCTTAAACTGTTAGTACACAATCTAAAATGGAAAAAAGAGGGGCTAAATGGGGGGGAAATAGACTTAAGCAATTTGTTGCTGTGTTCTTGCAGTTAAACCATGGAAGAGAATAGAAAAGCAAACTTCAGATGTTTTCCATCTTCCTATAGAACCAAATTTGAATGACTTTTGATTTTTTTAAATTTTTTTTTGGTCTGACTGGTTTTGTTTTCGTTTGTCTCCGATCACAAAGCAGTTTTCCTTAACAGCCTTTCAGCATCGAGAGCAAGCATGAAGTCACCATCCTGAGTGGACTCAATGAATTTGTAGTGAAGTTTTATGGCCCACAAGGAAGTAAGTATTCCTGCTTGATTTTTTTTTTTTTTTTTTTTTTTTTTTTCAAATTTTCATATTTTTATTCCATTTTCAGCCACATATGTTCTCTGCTTCGTTAATCACGTTAATGTTCCTCCAACCAGTCGTTTATCATCAACCAGTTTTTAAACGGACATGACCTGAGATGAAATTCTCATCATGAGCTCCAAGGTTATCCGCTCAAGAAATCTCAATATTTTTAACACGATCTTATGCGTTTACAGCAGATGACAGAGCTGTTCTTGTATACCTCTACAAGTCTGTTGTAGATACCGAGAAGCTTGTACAGAAGTAGACATAGAACATCTAAATTGCTGTGTCATCAGCATAGATGTTAAAATGTAAAGCAGAGTTCAGAATGCCCCGTCATTGGCTACGTATATTTCTAGAAAACAAAGGACCGAGCATTACGCCTTGTGGAACCCCGTTAGAAGTTTTCACGGTCTTACTGTGCAGAATATCTTATGTTAGCTGCTTGATTAGGTGGAGTGATGTGGTTATTTTTCAGTTACAGATCTCCAGAACACACACACACACACACACACACATACACTCACACAGACACTGATGATGAATGCTATCCTAAAAGATCAGGGGATTCTGTTGTGTGAGAAACGGAGGTTCCGCACAGCTGGGTAGGAATGTAAAATGAATTGAAACCAGACCTCAAGCTATGAAGTGTGAAACAAAGTAGAGCCACGGCCTCATCTGCAGGAAATACTTCCTCCTTATTGTGTTCACAACATCTGCCACACGCTGCCCCTCATGCATCGGTAAAAAGAGGAAGAGGCTCCTCTTGATGACTCCAAACTGTGTCAAACGAAACGTCGCTGCTGCTGCTGCTGCTGCTGCTGCTGCTGCTGCTGCTGGACGCCGACGTACATGTGCGTCGTCATCCAGCCGTAGCAAGCGTGTGTCGCTGCCCACTTTCAGCACACCAGGGTCTTGTTACACACGGCTATTCTGGGAGAGCAGCACACTCGCTAACGTCGCTCTCATTCCTCTTTTGATGTCTGCGAATAATCCCGAAATGATTTGAAGGTAAAGGACTTCTCGCGGGCTGAAATGCGTTACTCTATAAAAGAGGCATGGAGATGGGAGCGCAAAGCCCGACCGCAGCGGAGAAAATCGACGCAACTTGAGGGCCGCTGGAGTGTGTGAAGGGTGGAACGTCAGGGAAGTAAGACAGTTTTGTGTGCTTGGTGGTCTTCCTTTATCGTCTCCTTTCCTCTTGTCATGCACAGCGCCGTACGAGGGAGGCGTGTGGAAAGTGCGAGTAGATCTTCCTGATAAATACCCATTCAAATCGCCATCCATAGGTAGGAGCTCTGCTGTCACGCATCCGATGTTTAGCTTTAACCGAGACTGTGCTGATTTCACTTTGCTCTTTCAGGATTCATGAACAAGATTTTTCATCCCAACATTGATGAAGCGTGAGTCCATTTAAGTAAAATATTTATAATTAGTTTAAATTAGTGTTCTGACTGTTTGTGGGTGTTTTTTTTTTTTTTTTTACACTGTAATTACATTACATCTATTAGTTTTTACTATATTTTATTGTAAAGTTTATTAATTACTGGTCCACAAAACATTAAGTCTATTATAGACATACAGTTCTACTAATTAAGAAATATTCTTTTGAGCACACCACACCATCTATAGGATTGGGGTCCAAAGACAGATTGGGTTCGTTTCTGGTTGAGAGAAACTGATTCTTATTTAACACGTCTTCACTTTTCAAAGAACTTATGATTCCAATTCAGTCTTAATCCAGCCCATAAGGTATTTAAAGGTGAAATAGACCTACAGCATCTCACACCACACCACTGATGAACTCCTAACTTCATTCTGACAGAATAGTTGACCTGGACTCTCCTACCAGAATCTGAAGAGCTTGTTGAACAGACATTTCTGGCACAAACCTCGCTTTCAGTCATATTTAAGAAGTTTAAAAATGGTTGAGGTTGATGTTTCGGGAAGGCCATTCCAAAAGTTTACTGTTTGTCTAGTAGATGCATTCTTAATGTGTGATTGGTGTCATGGATTTGTTGGGATACCCAAGTGTGTAAAAGTTTGATTTGAGGAATTTTAGGAGGGAAATCCTATAGGCATATTGCTAAGAAACATTTCCCCCTGATATTAGTGAGGGATAATTGATATATTTGAGCATATAGATGTATATCCATCACCAGAATTCTCCCAACTCTGCTTTCCTCTGGGTTTTCAGGTCAGGAACAGTGTGCTTAGATGTCATCAACCAGACATGGACAGCTCTTTATGGTGAGTGGCTACACAGACGTACATGTATAAATTAAATTAGCCCGCCCAAACCCGTGTGAGTAACTCGTTGTGGCACAAACCGTGTGAAAAGGGACGGATAGCTCGCCCCTTGAGTACACCAGACAACCACTGTTGGGTCCTAATCTACTTACTGGGGTGGGGGGAAAGTAAACACTAATAAGGTAACGCTGTAACCCGCCAAGGTCAGGAAACGTTCACCTCAGACAGACGAGTCTCTGTTTGCCGGCTTTAAGATGGCTTGCTCTCGTTACACTTCCAGATTAGTTTCTCATGATGTCGCCTCTCTAGAGCTAAAGCAGCAGTTGAACTGAGAAATGGCGCCATAGTGATGTAAAGAGCTGATGCTTCGGTGTCGGTTTCTGTTGATTACAACCGATGCGCTCACATGGAAAATTAAGTTTTAGACTCGTAGTCTCCATTTGTTTCTTTGATAATTTGTGCTTATGTCAAGAAGAAGACAATCAGATTGGAGAAGGGTGTTTCAACTGGGCCAATAGCCAGAAAATTGTGTGTAGGGCTTACCTACAGATGAGGAGGTACTGAAAGCATTAAAATGCGTTAATTGCTTTGAAAAGATAAGGGAAGCTGCTTAATTTGACCAAACTCAACAGTGACACTGAGTGGAGAAGGGGAAAATTGGAGGTTCTTTAAAAAAAAAAAAAAAAAAGACCAGCTATGAAAAAACCAAGTTTGAGTCAAAAATATTTGATCTCATTACTTTACGGATTTTTAAAACAGCACCTTATCGAGTTAAAAAAAAAAACTCAAACTTTTTAAAAAACAAATTTCACACAAAACTTTATATAATAAATCATAGAACTCTGTAGAAAACTATACAAGATTTTCTAAATAGGTTTTACAAATAAAAATGAAAATTATGGTATGTTTTATTTGTTCATACCCCTTTACTTTGATCCCCCTAAGTGCAACAATGTACCTTCATAAGTTGCCTAAATGGAAAGGCAGGGCCATCCATCTGAACTGACAAGAACGCAAAATGCCATTGGTTACTCTGGAGGAGCTGCAGAGCTCTACAGCTCAGCTGGGAGAATCTGAGAGGAAAAAAGTGGCTTAGACAATGGGTTCGAATTTCTCCGTTAGGTTTAGCTCTAGTGTCTGAACTTTTTGCAGTGGTCAAACTCAGAACTTTTTGTTGTTGTTGTTTTCATGCCTAGATCTGACCAACATCTTTGAATCGTTCCTGCCCCAACTGCTGGCTTACCCAAACCCCATCGACCCCCTTAACGGCGACGCAGCTGCCATGTATCTTCATCGGCCAGAGGAGTACAAACAAAAAATCAAAGGTTAATCCTAAACGAGTTAAAAAAAAAAAAAAAGTTGCTCTTTTTATTTTAATTTAATTGTGACTCTGTTTTCTGTCTCTTCTTCTCCAGAGTACATTCAGAAATATGCAACAGAGGAAGCTCTGAAGGAGCAGGAAGAAGGGACGGGTGACTCTTCGTCTGAAAGCTCCATGTCTGATTTCTCAGAAGACGAAGCCCAGGACATGGAGTTGTAGTAATAAAGGGTTCCCTCCCAATCACTCCCCTTCCTTAAACCCCTAACCCCCGCCCCACAGAGACTATATTTGATTTCCTAACCACGAGAAAGCAGACTTATAATATTCATATTTAAACAAGTTGATTTTTTTATTTTTATTATTACGACTAAACAAGGATTTTTATGGATATATAGCCTTTGGTGTGTTTTGACAGACCCCCCTTCTCCTCTGTAGTCGTTCTCCCCGATAGCGTTCACAATCTCTGCTGCATTTGTTCGATGTTGTAAAATTCCTCCCTCCACCCGAAGCGTCCCGTTTCTTTGCTTAGTCTTTTTTTTTTTTTTTCTTTCTAAATTTGACACAGCCAGTCATTTTCCTCCGTGCAAATTGGCAACGTGCCGGTTGCTCGTTTGAAGGCGAAAAGTGCTCCCATCTCCTCCCAAGACAGTATTTGTAAAAAAGAAAAAAAAACAAACAAACAAAAAAAACTTGATAACTTTTGAGACAAAAGTTGGCTTTGCTTGCAAATTTGAAACGAAACCCGTTCTGCATATCCCTCCCCCGTCCCTCTCTGCTGTGCTGGTTGCGTTGCGCACAACTGTTGCAAACTAGAGCAAGTAAGGAGGAGGAGGGGGAAACGATGCTTCTGTTTTATTCAGGTTACAAAACTCTTACTATAAGGCACACAGCCACAGTAGATGCTCATCGATGAATGCAGAATACTTGCTAAGCATATCTCTGGTAACATACTAATGAAGAAGAACAGTCTGGAATAATAAGGTCTGTTTTGGTTTAAGTGCTGTGTCGGATGTTACATATTTTTTGTTTTAGTCTTTTGACCGTCTTGGTGTTTAAAAGAAAAAAAAAACAAAAAACAGGCAGATATTGCAGAACAAATGAATGCCTGTCTGACTACAGGGTGACATGGATTGCTCTGGGTATCTGGTTTAAGCGTATTTGGTTAAAAAAAAAAGAAAAAAAAAGTTTGTAATATAAACTATATTTTGGCCTGTTTCTTTTTTTTTTAACCAAATACGCTTAAACCAGATACCCAGAGCAATCCATGTCACCCTGTAGTCAGACAGGCATTCATTTGTTCTGCAATATCTGCCTGTTTTTTGTTTTTTTTTTCTTTTTTTTTTAACCAAATACGCTTAAACCAGATACCCAGAGCAATCCATGTCACCCTGTAGTCAGACAGGCATTCATTTGTTCTGCAATATCTGCCTGTTTTTTGTTTTTTTTTTCTTTTTT